ACATTTGAGAAAATAGTAGAAACAGGAAAGTCACTGCTACCTCCCCCAAAGCAGGTCCTAAGACTTATCAAGGGATTTTCTGACCTCTTCCCCTGCAACAGGTTTTAAGACAGACACCTTTAAGAGATTGGATTGTACCCTCCTTGTCCAATCGTATGTCTCCATGACTGGACACTCATCATCAAAGCTGGCGTAGAGGCACACAGGATCATCTGTTGTGTTGGCCTTCATTTCTTTTTGAAGGCTCTCATGTCATGGAAGACATGCTTTGCTTTACCTGCTTTCTTTTCATTTTTTGAGCCAGGGTTTCACTATGCAGGTCAGGCTGGCCTTGCACTAACTTTGTAGCCTAGGCTGGCCTCAAACTCACAGCAGTCCTCATGCCTCAGCCTTCTGAGTGCTGGGACTACAGGCCTGCACCACCAAACCTGGCTCTGTGCTTTTCTTTAGTCAGTCTTCTGTTACAGGGGCCTCAGTCATGAGCCCAAGATGGGTTGGAAAAATGTTCCTTTCCATGTTCAGCACTGTAGTGGCCACCAAGTGAGAACCATCACCCAAGGCTCCCAGAGTGAAGATGTGTGTGAAATGCCGGAGTCCTGCTGTCCAGCACAGTAGCCACCAGGCCTGTGCGGCTGTCAAGCACTTGAAATGTACCAAATCTAGCTGGGCGTGGTGACATGTGCCTATAATCCCAGTGCTCTTGGAAGCTGAGGCAGGAAACTCACAAGTTCAAGCCTAGCCTGGACAATTTAGTGAGACCCAGTTTCAGAATAGTAAAAGGACTGGGGATGCAGCTCAGTGCAGAAAGATCCTGGGTTCAATCCCCAGTACCAAAAAAAAAGGACCAAGTCTGATATGAGATGTGCTCTTGAGTTTAACAGTCCTCTAGGTTTTCAAAAACTTAATGTGATCAGAGGAATATAAAATAGCTCATTACTCATTTTTAACTGTCACTTACACATTGAAATGGTATTCTAGATACACTGGGTTAAATAAAATATATCATTAAAATGAATTTCACTGGGTGTCCTGTTGGACAGCGCTTTGCTGAACAGTGAATCTGATGGCTACAATCATGGACAGAGGCGCCCTGCATTTGGAAATTTTATTATCTATATCTCTGTCTATCTATCTATCTATCTGAGTCTGGGGATGGAACCTAGAACCTCACCATGTTCGACAAGAGCTTTGCCACTGAGCTCCATTCCAGGCCTGGCACTCTGTGTTTAAAGCTCTGGGTTCCTGTGGCCTTTGGGCCTCGATTTCCCTATTGGTCAGAGTAGGCCAGAATCCGTGATGTCTGAGACCTCTCGAGCCCGAGCAGTGTTGTTTGGTGTCTATTAAAGTCTCTGGGGCTCCATCTCCTTATGTGTCGGATGGGGTATATGACTTCTGTTTTATTATCTGCCCATTTATCTGGGCAGATAAATGTTACTGTAACTCACCCAGAGGACACCTGTAGGCACCAGAGTCTCAAGTCTGGGCAGGGGTCCTGGGTACTGCCCTGCGTCTGTCTCTTAACTGTGAGACAGCTTGTGAGCCATCTGCATGTCCGTTTCCTGGCAAGATAGACAGGATGCCTCCCTGGGTGTTGAGAATGGCTGTTTTTCTTAGGAATCCAAAGTGCTGGGGAGACCATGCTCTTGCTGATCAAAAAATATAGTGTGTTTAAATTTTAAAAGAATATAGTAAAAAACATTGCCATCAATCCTCCCTAAAATACCACTCCTTATTTTGAACAACACATGCCATAGTTCTTGCTACTTTCTGAAGCAGTTCTGGAAATCCTCTTTTGTGAGTATCTTTGTGAAGTGTGATCAGAGATAGGGTGAATGGTATGCCAAGTGCCATCCAAGAGAAAGGCAGACTTGTAAAAACACCCCAGTGTGTCCCCGTCCGCCTTGTTCACCAGATCTGGGGATCCTGTGACTTCTGGCTCTTTCCCATAGTCCAGATGACCATGAGAGGCGAACATTTTGAATTGATTCAGGACATTGAGGTAGCCGTAACAGCACAGCTTAAAGATACCCAGGAAAGAAGACTTCTCAGACTGCTTCAGAAAGTGGCAAGAGTGGCACGGTAAATGTAACTAGAGTGAGAGGAAGTGTTTTCAGAGGAATTAATGGCAGCATGTCTTTTACTGTCATACTTTTAAAAAAGGTAAACATTCACTGTATTTTTGGGTCATGCCTTGTATGTGTCAGTGAGAGGGCAGAGGCCTCGTTGCTGTGTTGCCAGTGGAAACGCGTGGCAACTGAGTGACTTGCCCAGAGTCCTAGAGGGCGGTGGCACAGCTGGTCGAGGCCTGCAGGCTTCTGTTTTCTGGCCTGATTCTCCCACCACTGCAATATCTGCGATCCCAGAGTGAGGGGCTATTTTCCCCTCCTGCAGAGAAAGTGAACCTGTCTGAGCTTCAGATGCCCTCCTCCCTTCGTGGGCCGAGCCTGGGCCACTGGGAATTAGGGCCCAGGCTGGCCCCCTCCCAAGCCATCCTGAAAATGGAGCCTGTTGTTCCTGCCCCGCCACATTCCAGGCTGCTGTCGTCCCTGGAGGGTTCAGGAGCCCCAGTGCTTTTAGCTAGCTCAATGTGACAGCTTTGTTTTCTTCCTGAACTAGGGCTTAGCCACTCTCACCAGCTTGGATCTCTTTATTAATGGGTGCCAAGGCCACCAGGAGGACCTTGGACCTGACCTCAGGGCCTTGCTTTGTCCTCCTGGTCAGAGAAGTCTGAGGAAGAAGGAAGAAGGGCTTAGTTTAGGGTCCTGAGCCCGTGCTGTCCCGGTTGCTGGGTGCTTGGGACAGTGTTACTTAACTGTGAAGCCTATGGTTCCTCCATTGTAAAGTGAGGTTAATGGCCACCTCCCAGGCTTTACAGGGTAGGTTGCACACCCAGCACTGACTCCTCCACGTTCTCGTTCCTAGAACCTCATATCACCCATCAAACAGTGGGCTGTTTGTATCATTGAAAGCTCAAAGTTTCACCATCACTGATCTAAGGGCTTAGGCCACATTCACTGAAATAGAACCAACCCTTGAAGCAGTAAGCACAGAACTATGCTGGGCTGGGAGCAGAAGCAGGCGCGGGCACCTCCCCCGTGCAGCTTGTGGGTGCCTGAGGGTTGGTTTTTCGCTTTGGTGATGCTGTGCTGAGTCTGTCACTGAGGAGCCTCTGTGATGGAATTTATTTTCTGAAACACATTTCCTTAGTTGGCTTGCAGATAATTCAGCCGTCCTGCGAAGCTGGCTGGAATAGGGGAGTGAGACTGCTGATTATCTCTGGGGCTCTTCTATCCTTCTGGGCCTCAGCCAGCCTGGGAGATGTTTTCAGGGGAAGAAGGTTAGAAAGGCCGGACACACTCTGCCTCTCAGAGGGATTGGTGGTAGGGGTGAAGGGCTGGGCCATTCGGGGAAGAGGAGTACTAGGCCTTATCTGAGACAGCAAACCCTCTGAGACCTTCCTGGGTTAGGCGGCACCAGGGGCCTCCCGCCCAGGAGAAGCACCACCCAGCCCAGCAAGGAGCCTCTGCTTGGCACTGTCCCCAGGACTTGGGGGCCACTGAACAGTGTCTCTGGGGCTTTCGGGGCACAGCAAGAGCCAGAAGGCATGGCCCCCACACCCCTGACTGTCACAGTCTAGCAGAAGTGTGGACCATGTGTGCGTGTGTGCAGCACCAGCAAAGACACACCCCGTGACTTGTCCACGTACTCCTCTGGAGTGGACACCTGAGGCCGAGGGGATGCTGAGGAGAGGAGTGGACAGTGTGGGGCGGGCGGATCATGGCCTGTGCTCCGCAGGAGGTGAGTTGGAGGTGGCTTTGGGGTCTGTGAGGCCTGGGATGGTGGCTCTGTGAGGAAGGACCTTTGGGGGTGAAGAAGCACTGTCAGGGCCTCTGTCTGAGGGTGCTGGGAGCTGATGCTTACTGTAGGGATGCCAACAGGTCAAAGATGTCTCCCCCGCGGCCCCTGCTCAGAGACTGGGTGCCAAGAGTGGGGCCAGAAAGTAGTTTGCCTGGCTGCCACCTGCAGCAGTGAGGTGGGGCTGGGCAGTCACAGGGCCATGTGCAGGCAGGCAGGAAGAGGAGTCCAGATGCACAGGGCTGGCACCAGCCACGGGGGAGGGTCAGCAGGGTCCTTGTGTAGCTTGTGGAGTAACAGAGCTGTAGCTTTTAAGCCCCTTGTATTCCCTGGTTTTGCTGCTCCAGGAAGCTCTGGCTGAGCTCTCCCTGAGCTCTGAGCAAGGTGCATGCACCAGGACTCGGGGACCTTGGTGTCCACCCCAATTTTTTCACTGATGGGTGGGTCATCTTGGCCACCCGCGGACCCTCTCTGGCCTCTAAGTTTTCCTTGGGGTATTGGAAGTAACCGGGCCTGCCTTGCTTCTCCCCACGGGA